TATATATATATATGTATATGCGTTATTTATTACATATATATGTTATCGTAGAATATATGTATTTCTCCCATATATTTGTTCTTTTCTTCAATTTCTTCTGTCACTAAAATTTTGAATTTCGTTCCTCTCCTTTTTCTCTGTCCATACACATATATAAACTTCTGCATTATACAAATTTATTTAATGGTATTGTAAGGTATCACATTTAAATCATAAAAGTGCTGTACATAGATTAGATACGTTATATTATCATGGTTACGAGTAGATATATAATCTCGCAACAAATTCAACTTCAAAAAATAGGAACAAACAAGAATAAATATACGTTTTCTTTACTACCTTTTTTTTTCTTTTCTTCTGTCATACGAGTAAAAGTGTAGCGAGTAATGATATTCATTAATTGCATTTGCGCATATAAAATTAAAAAATGGTAAAAAACCCACATATATGTTTTATTAAGTTTCCGTGTTAAATGTTCAAAGATTAACATACTGCCGTATCAGAATTTGAAAATCTGTTTCCAGATCATTACTGGAGTATCATCCTCTAGGGCAATCTCAGGTGCGAACATATCGGTTAAAAAAAAAATGACGCATGAAAACGCATCCGAATTATATTTACATAACAAGAGATTATCGATATATTCTTATTATGATAAGGCAGCAGTTGTCAAAAGTAATGTTTAGAATACTTGCCTTTCGCTCGCCTCATGTTAGATCAAACATATCTCACGTCACACGTATGTGTTGCGCATAAGAACAATAATTTTTTTTTTTTTTTGTATTTGACATATATATCTCCTAAATACTATTCTCTCCCGAGTACGACGCGCGGGAGCTCTGTTGTTTTTGTCCGTTAAATAAAAATTGTAAAAAAGGAGAAACCTATAACAGTTCGTGTAAATCTGCGACTCTATGTCTATAACCTAGGCCGGCGTTGCGTTGTCGCAAACAACGGCGGACAACTTCTGGCTTCTCGATCAACCATTTCAATCGGTGATTATCAGCTGATTATCGGTCGGCACGTTCACCGGTGATGCATCCTTCCGTGGCACGTCATCCTCAGGCTTATCGCTCGTTGCTGTTATGACAGCGACTCGGGTCACGTCCATCATCCGGTTCTCAGAAGTTCCGTTCTGCAACACTTTCTGCGATTCAATCAAGGGCGCGCTCTTTGTCCCGGGGCTGGAAGAAGCAGTCCTTGATGCGGCTTTCGGTGTCAGAGCGGACTTCTTTATCGGTGAAATCGTGTTTCCAGGCGATTTGCCGGGTGATTTCCCAAGCGTTAAGCGTTTCGCAGCCGTAGTGGCGACGAGCGGTGCGGAGGGTTTACTACCGGTTTTAGATGACGACAATGTTCCAGTGGCACTAGAACGAGAGATTTCCTTGTTAGCCGATTCCTTGCTCTGCTTATCAATCAACGGTGACTTGGTTGTGGTCGTTCTCGCAGAATTTTCACGCGGCTTGTTCGCGCTGCTAGAAGCCGGTGGCGCGGTTTTGGGTCTCGACGATGCAACGGTCGTTGACTGTTTAGACGTCGTCATGGACATCTTAACAGTCGTACCGGCCGACGTAGATCTTGGCTTCGATGTTACGTTGGACGTTATCGCGGTTGTCGACGGCAATGATTTAACGGATGTATATATATATATATGTATATGCGTTATTTATTACATATATATGTTATCGTAGAATATATGTATTTCTCCCATATATTTGTTCTTTTCTTCAATTTCTTCTGTCACTAAAATTTTGAATTTCGTTCCTCTCCTTTTTCTCTGTCCATACACATATATAAACTTCTGCATTATACAAATTTATTTAATGGTATTGTAAGGTATCACATTTAAATCATAAAAGTGCTGTACATAGATTAGATACGTTATATTATCATGGTTACGAGTAGATATATAATCTCGCAACAAATTCAACTTCAAAAAATAGGAACAAACAAGAATAAATATACGTTTTCTTTACTACCTTTTTTTTTCTTTTCTTCTGTCATACGAGTAAAAGTGTAGCGAGTAATGATATTCATTAATTGCATTTGCGCATATAAAATTAAAAAATGGTAAAAAACCCACATATATGTTTTATTAAGTTTCCGTGTTAAATGTTCAAAGATTAACATACTGCCGTATCAGAATTTGAAAATCTGTTTCCAGATCATTACTGGAGTATCATCCTCTAGGGCAATCTCAGGTGCGAACATATCGGTTAAAAAAAAAATGACGCATGAAAACGCATCCGAATTATATTTACATAACAAGAGATTATCGATATATTCTTATTATGATAAGGCAGCAGTTGTCAAAAGTAATGTTTAGAATACTTGCCTTTCGCTCGCCTCATGTTAGATCAAACATATCTCACGTCACACGTATGTGTTGCGCATAAGAACAATAATTTTTTTTTTTTTGTATTTGACATATATATGTCTCCTAAATACTATTCTCTCCCGAGTACGACGCGCGGGAGCTCTGTTGTTTTTGTCCGTTAAATAAAAATTGTAAAAAAGGAGAAACCTATAACAGTTCGTGTAAATCTGCGACTCTATGTCTATAACCTAGGCCGGCGTTGCGTTGTCGCAAACAACGGCGGACAACTTCTGGCTTCTCGATCAACCATTTCAATCGGTGATTATCAGCTGATTATCGGTCGGCACGTTCACCGGTGATGCATCCTTCCGTGGCACGTCATCCTCAGGCTTATCGCTCGTTGCTGTTATGACAGCGACTCGGGTCACGTCCATCATCCGGTTCTCAGAAGTTCCGTTCTGCAACACTTTCTGCGATTCAATCAAGGGCGCGCTCTTTGTCCCGGGGCTGGAAGAAGCAGTCCTTGATGCGGCTTTCGGTGTCAGAGCGGACTTCTTTATCGGTGAAATCGTGTTTCCAGACGATTTGCCGGGTGATTTCCCAAGCGTTAAGCGTTTCGCAGCCGTAGTGGCGACGAGCGGTGCGGAGGGTTTACTACCGGTTTTAGATGACGACAATGTTCCAGTGGCACTAGAACGAGAGATTTCCTTGTTAGCCGATTCCTTGCTCTGCTTATCAATCAACGGTGACTTGGTTGTGGTCGTTCTCGCAGAATTTTCACGCGGCTTGTTCGCGCTGCTAGAAGCCGGTGGCGCGGTTTTGGGTCTCGACGATGCAACGGTCGTTGACTGTTTAGACGTCGTCATGGACATCTTAACAGTCGTACCGGCCGACGTAGATCTTGGCTTCGATGTTACGTTGGACGTTATCGCGGTTGTCGACGGCAATGATTTAACGGATGGCGTGATCTTCGTGGTCGTCGTTTTCGCACTTGCTGGTTTAGCGGCGGTGGCAGCGACTTTACTGACGGGTTTTGTCTCACCGAGATTTATCGCTGATTTCTTCTCGGCTGACGTTGTGGTGCTCAATCTCGTCGAGGCAGTGCTAGTTCTCGATTTTATTGTACTAACGCGCGGCGAGATACTGGTCTTCGTCGCTGTTGTTGTCACGTTTTTAGATGATGTCATTGTCTTAGTGCCAGCGATTCTGCCACCAACACTTGAAATCGCCGCAGCTTTGGTCGATCCGTCTACCAACTGTTTAGGACGAGCCGCAACGGATTTCTTCGCGAGGGGCGGTTGCACTGGTGACGATGTTGTGGTTACTCGCGCGGTCGTCGTACTGACTGCTTTAGACGGCGATGTCGGAGTAATTTTCGTTGCCGTCTTCGTTGTTGTCGTCGTCGTTTTCGTTGGACGTTTCGTCGCGGTCGTTGTTGCCTTTGCCTTAGTTGTACCTACGGTGGTCATTGTAGCGGCGGTAGCCATTGTAGCGGCGGTAGCCATTGTAGCGGCTTTAGTATATGTACCAAAATCGATTATCTTTGTAAGGTCTGGCAATGCTCTCGCGGTTTCTTGTGGTTTGGTCTCTTCTTCTTTGTTCGTAGGAACATTTTCGGATGCGATCTGTTTCTCTAATACCTCATCGACGTTCGCAGATGCAGCTTCTATTTCTATTAGCTTTTGCTCGGTTTGCGCATTGCTTAACGATGTGCAAGACAATTGCACGTTTTGTTTATGTGTCTGACTTTCAGATTGCATTGGCTTCCCCACAATCGTGAAATCTTTCTCCAAATCAGACGGATCTGTACTGTCAGGTTTGGCATCACCGTCGCTTTTATCGTTTTTATCGTCCTTTTCGGGAGTCTTTAATGACTCTTCACGTTCCGTAAGACATCTGTAGAATTCATTATATTCGTATTGTGAACCTAATTCAAGCAGCGTCGGTTTATCTGTTTTATAGAAATCTGTCCTGTCAGATGGCTGGGGTTGAGAATCTCCGAAATAAAATTCTGTTTCAGTATCAATATCCGGTTGCTTCGATGGTTCTCCTTCGTCCACAAGTTGCTTAGGACGAGCCGCAAGACTAAGACACGACTTGGTCTCTTCTTCCTTATTCGTAGAAATATCTTCGGATGCGATCTGTTTCTTAGATATCTCATCGACGTTCGCAGATGCAGCTTCTGTTTCTATTAGCTTTGGCTCGGTTTGCGTATTGCTTAACAATGTGCAAGACGACGGCGCGTTTTGGTTATGTGTCTGACTTTCGGATTGCGTTGGCTTCTCCACAATCGTGAAATCTGTTTCCAAATCAGACAGATCTGTATTATCAAGTTTGGCATCACCATCGCTTTTATCATCTTTGTCATTTTTGTCATTTTTATCGTTTTTATCGTCCTTTTCGGGAGTCTTTGATGACTCTTGATGTTCCGTAGTAAACTTGTACGATTTATTACATTCGAATGGAGGATCATCATATTCAAGCAGCATCGATTTTGTAGAATCTGTTTTGTAGAAATCTGTCCAGTTAGATGGCTGGGGTTTAGACTTTCCCAAATAAAATTCTGTTTCAGTATCAATATTCGGCTGCTCTCGTGATCCTCCTCTCTGGTTAATAACCCGATAATCCAGTTCTGTGTCGGATAATTTCAGATATTCCGGTTCTGTGTCAGAACGTACCAGCTCTACCACGTTCTCTGAAAAAGATCCATTAGGTTCTGTTTTGCTATTATCAGTAATATCCATCTCGTTCAGTTTCTCTGTTGTCGATTGAAACTCCTTGTCTATCTCTGCCATCTTAGACGGGGCACACTCGATTGATTTCTCTGTCATAGTTTCAGCGAATGGTTTAGATTGTGTTTTCTCATCTTTTTCATACAAACCCGTTTGTTCTCCTTCGTTTTGTATTTTATCAATCTCCTTTGTCAATTTTACATTTTCGAGTACGGTAGATAGCAATTCAAATGTTTCGTTATAATTTTCTTTAGATGGATCTATCGGTTGCTGATCACCATCTGGATTTTCATTTGTTTTTAACGACAGTTCCTTCGAGATATCTTCTTCCGCGGAACTCGCAGGCTTGAATTTATCAGAATTCGTAAATTTGGATTCATTGGAAATGCATTTGGATTTATCTATTAGATCAACAGAAGAGGATAACATTTCCATCTGACTAAGATCGTACGGGAGAGGAGTGAGACCATCCGCTTCGAAGACCGAGAGCACTTTTGCTTCGTCCGATTCGGAGGTGGCAGTACATGTTGATTGATTATCCGCGGGATGCGGTGTCGATGATGTGCATAGAAGATCGATTGTTGCTTTATCCTCCAAGGGTGTATCCGCACGTACACTCTCGTTCACGCACGACCCACTGGGTGAACGCGGCGGCGTATTAATATGTTCGGCATCGTCTGAACTGTCGTTCAGATCGTGCACGGCATTTAGATCGACGCCTTTCTCGAACGCCGCCTCGAAGTCACCCGGTGTGAACGAAATCGTCATAGCATTATCCATGTTGACGATTTCGTACCCCTCCGAATCGGATTCTGCATCGTTATGTGTCGTTGCATTCCACTGAGAGGAGTTATCCATTTGCCATTGCGTTGTGGTGGACACGATACGCGCCATCGATTCATCATCCACCTCGGCCTTGGTCGACGATATCTCAGACATGTTCATGTCCGGCAAATTGTTATCGCACGCTGCATGCTGTTCATCGCTCGAGAAGTCCTCATATATCTCTTTCGGTCGGAGAGACACCTCTTTCTCAAATTCGCTTTGGCTCGGTATCAAGAAATCATCCATCGGCGTCTGTTTCAGGGGAGAGCCGCTGATGGCATAATCCTGCAATTTACTAATCAGTGGTGGTGGCGACAACGGCACGAACTCGGCCGCCTCCGGATTTAGTGGGAAACTCATGTCTTCTTTATTGTCGTCTGCTTGCTTCTCGCTGTCGTCTAAGTGATTCTTCTCCGATTCGCTCAGCCTATCTTTCTGATAGCTTATCTAAAAGTAAATTATTCAAAATGCATATTCTTATATCAAATGACAAAAGTTCTTCTATAAGAAAACAATAGTGTAGATTATATTTACATCGATGCTGATAGGCTTAAGAGTAATATTTTCTTCTGATCCTTCACATTTAATATCGGCCTCGACTTTTGAAGACTGGATTTCTGAATCACCTCTCGAACCCGTTTCGAGATCTTGTCTTTGTTCCTCAATGCCCTCACCAGATTTGTCTGTCGCAGCCGTGACAGCCGTCGCCACAGATTCTTTCTTATTCGAATCGATACGATAATAATTCCACCCGTCGTCAGAATCCTGATCACTCTCTACATTCTCCGGTTCAGAAGTCGGTGCATGCTGAGGAGTGTCTGAAATAAACATCAAAAGAAATTAGAGAGTCAAATAATCAATTCGTTATGCTACATCGTGTCATTCTCATTTATTACAAATATACAAATTATAAATTTATTTCATTCTCACATTAAATGTTTCATTCGTCATGAAAATAATTATAATTTTATTTCACAATCATATAATCCTTAAGAATAATTGTTGAAATTTTTGACGATACTTATCACCGGAAATAAAGAGAAAAGACAGAAAATTCTGCGATAAACTAATTTTGACGTAAGAAACTAAAATGCTAGAAACTATCAACTACTGATTCTGCACTGGTACTCTGGATCAATCCAACATGTTCGTTATATGTTAATGCTCGACAGATGGGCTGACACTACTAACTTCCTCTTTGACACGCAGCCGGGAGACGACGGATATTTTCCTCGCGGGAGCAATCGCCCTTCGGTGACTAAGAGGAACTACGCCCGCCAAGAGATGCATTATCGATCTAGTCCACAGAGCCCCCGGAGCACTCTCCCGCCCCCCTTTCCCTCTTCCCTCACACCCCTCCTACACGCCGTTGCTGCCGCCGCCGCCACCCACCTGTGCACCGCGTCGTGACGATTAGAGGAGAGCGACCCCGCTCCGATTGGACCGGGCCTTGGAAATCGTCGAATCGATCGACATCCATTCGGGAAATATTCGTGTGATGGAGACGGCTCTTCTCTCGATTGCACTTTTTTAAAATATTTCTTGGAGTAGTGCGGTGCGAAATGACTGGAAGAGATCCTTAATACTTCCTTTCTAGCGGTCAAGCATTTCTGCGTGAAGCGATAAAATAGGTAGGATCAAGGAATCAATTAACAGATTCGACAGCTGTACTCGATAAATCTATTTTCTTCATTTACGCGATAAAAATTCCTGTACTTTTTTATATTTTGCATTTGACTCTCGATTCTGCCCTCAACACAATTCCGTTCTCAGGATTACAATTTTCACAAGGAAAGATTTTCAAAATGATGTTAAATATATTTCTGAATGTAGAATATGATATTTTTTCAATATAATTATATGCCCAATAAAACAAAGAAAATTAATTTTAAAACAATAATCGACTAATATTAATATAATGTGAGGTGATGAACAGTGTAATAAAGCTACGTAAATCCGTTAGTTTGTAAATTTAATATTGTCAAGATACAATAATTCCACGAATTAATAATGAATTTTATATCAATATTGACTATTAAATCTTCATTAGTCTTGCGATCCTATATTATTCATTGCTATTGCAAATTTCTCGTTATGCATTAATAATGCGTTTTGATCCATCTATCAAAAATATTCTCACACAAAGATATTTCTTACAAATTACAGAGATAGCGAAAGAGCAAATTCTCGAAATAGAGATATTTGCGTGAAATTTTCTTACTGCATATTTTCGTAGAATTAAAAAATCAAGTGAGGGCACGAGTTTGTGGAGCGAAGGAGAAGGCGAACAAAGGACTCGGTATGAGTGTGTAAGAAATGCAGCCGAGAGAGATAAGAACGTCGGGCCCACCTGGCCGAAGCCAGGAAAACGCTACGTGGAAACTGGTTAAGGGACGCTTAAAAAAACGCAGCCCACGCTCGCTTAATCTCTTCTTAATTCCGTTCCAAGTCTCTTTGCCACCAATGCAAACTCGCGCCAACTCACGAAGGTTCTCTCTCCCACGCACTCTACCGCTTCTAACGCATTTTGAATCTGTACGAATCTGTCTAAAGAGCGCTGGTCCAAACAATTTCGGATAATAATATCCCGCAACGCGTTTCGCCGCCATATGTGCCGAAGTTTTCAAAACGTTGACTGGAAATGTAAAATTCGTACAAAATATATCAGGGTGTCCACTCAAATCTTGTAAAGAAATGCCATGATCTTTCAGGTATTTTTGTTCAAAATTTCAGATAAAAAGAATATTTTAAAGATTTTTTGATGCATTTTTTTAAAAATAAGTTTTTTATTATGTTTTTTTTTTTAAATGTTTTTCAGTCATACAAAAAGCCACTTAAGTTTCAAGTGCTAGATTTGTACTAAAAAAAACTGAATGGCTTTTGCAAAATAAATATTTTTCACTTACATAACATTTTCATTTTCTTTATCACTAAAAATTATAATAAAGAATGTAAATATGTACTGCATATTCAATATTTTGTTAAAACATTGAATATATATAAATAGAGAGATAGGTATATATTTATAATATATTTTCAACACGGTTTTTACTTGCCAACTATTTACGATATGAGAGCAAAATTATTAAAGAAAGAATTTCTTACAAAATTCCTTGAGTTTCAATAAAATTCCATGATAATTTCCTGATTTTTCCAGATACAATAGAAATCCCTAAGAATTTCAGGTTTTTCCTGTTTTTATCCAGAGAGTAGACACCTTGAATATTCGGTTTTTCCTCTCATCAACTTCGTCGATATCTCTCATATAAATTCCAACAACACTACGTCGTTGTAAAAAATTTTAAAAAATATATACAAGGATTGCAATAAAGCTCGTTATATTGAAACTATTTCAATAGGCAGGATAATGGAAAAATATGGCTTACAAACTATAACTTTTTACTATTTCAATTATTTGGAAAAATGTAGCGCTGTAGAGTTCTCACAAATGCTATTCTATGTTAGGATAAAGATATCCTTAATAATAGTATTGCAAATAATTAATCGGTTCTTTCTCCTCCAATATTAAATTATAAATCTTGAAACAAAATTGTGTATACGAAAATAATCTCCGACATTTTAATTATTTATCTTAGAAAGGGTTTCACTCCAAAAATGGAAACAAAATGGCACTCGCGCATGCAGGCCGACTCGCCGATATGACCGGTGATGCGATGGAAAAGTTTAAAGCCTGGTCAAAAAAAGGACAATAGCTAGACCTCCTCATAATTATTCTCTGATAATAAATGGCAAGTTTAACTGGTCGACATCAGGAACGTTCGTATACATATCAGCGAAGTACGTTCGCCTCGGCAACGGAGTGTCATCGCACACACATCGTCATTATATATTCCATAAATAGTTATCTAAGTAAAATTACTAAGCGTTTATTTAAGAACAAATATAGGGGTTATGCAAATTCATCGGACCAACTGGCCAGTCATTTTTCTCTTATTGTTCGACCGAAAGTCGCGCTTATTCGCAACGCGCGACTCTTTTAACTGCAATCTTTTATATTTTTTTCAAGTAAAACGCGCGCAGAATTTAGTTACGCTTGTGCATTTGATGAAAGAGAGAAAAGAAGCGCAGAAAGCGTAGATACACCGGGAAGCAAATCCCGGCACAAATTGTGCACTACCATACGATTGTAGTGAGAGAGAGAGAGAGAGAGAGAGAGAGAAAGAGAGAGATAGTGCTAAATTACCGTTATTAAAATCGAAAAAAATGTCTTATCTGTTTTAACGTTATTGCTACGGTTGCCTGCAGTTAACGTTACACTCGCCGACTTAAACGTCGTTTTTGCATAGCGTCTTCTTGCCAGACGGTTTCTGCCTCTGTAAAACCGCTCATTAGCTTTAAAAAGCATATCGGAGAAGCTATCTCTATTTAAAATTTAAAAGTTCATTGATCTGTTTTTCATCAATGAAAAAAAATAATTTAGACTTTCGTCTTACCAAAAAAGAAAACCGCATACGCATCTCTCCGCGCTGACTGTCGCTTCGCTTGACAAACGATCGATTAACATCCGCGCTGGATTCTAACGACGCATGCTGTTCGCACAGTGCCTCCGTCGAAGCCGATAATATTGGACGAGGCGATGAAGAACATTGGGCAACTCCGGGGCATCGAGGAGACGTACAACGAGGGGAACGACGTGAACCTGATTTGCGAGGTACGTGGCGGCAAACCGCCCCCGAAGCTGACGTGGTATCTCGACAACACCGTGATAGACGAGTCCTATCTCTACAACGCCGAGACCGGGATAACGGTTAACCACTTGGCGTATCCGAAAATTGGCCGACAGCATCTCAAGGCGAGGCTGATCTGTCAGGCCAGCAACACGAATTTGGTGCCACCGCAAACCAGGCTCCTCATCCTCAACGTGAATCGTAAGTCGTTGACAATTTTCTGTATATCTTTTCGCGATTTCTTTTTTTTTCTATCTTTCTTTTTACTATCCGGTGAAAATGCCTTTTTTAATGAAAAGCAATTTTGTGTTAGTTTTTAGTTTTTATCTTTCGTCTCTCTCAAGTTCGTACACGACCCAATTTCGCGCGGCATTAAATATCACGTTTACGCATGTCATCACAATAACGTAATTCTAATTTGCAATGCTATGACAATGCGACATTTGCTTTTCATAGTGGTATGTATTAACCAAATGAATCAGTCCGCAACGTAAAAATGGGTCCCCACAGACTCCGTCCGGTGCACGTAATATTTTCGCTCAGCGTCACGCGAGGTCGAGGATAATTGCGTTTACGTAAATACTGTATATCCGAAAATAGTGTTTTTACATAAACAAGAGAATAGAGAGAGAAAGGTTCTGACTGTGTAATAACTTTGGCGCTGAGTCAGCATGTCGATCATTTCGCTCGCGCAAAAAGCGAAGGCACCTTTCGGTGACGCTTAAAACGAGAACCACCGATTACCTTAATGTACATCCATAGTGAATGACGATCAAGAAATGCTCTACTTATGCGACTCACTTTGTCAATCTCTGTAATGTTGCATGCTCTTGCAATGCGATTTTTTAGCGTGTTTTTTATGGGAATACCAATTTATCAAACAGATGCCAAAAAAATTAAAAAGTTTTCCTAAAAAAAAAAAAAAAAAAAAAAAAAAAAAAAAAAAAAAAAAAAAAAAAAAATTGACGCTTATCTCGTCACAATTTTACGTGTGTACATCTACGAATACTGTTGCGTACTTACATAAATTTATTCGTGCAATTTAAAATCAAAGAAAAAATGTCAAAGTTCAATATTATCACAACAGTAAGTGGGGGATTAATGTCGCAGCATCCACTATACATTAGTGTTACAGCGATAAATTCCTGCTTTGCTTTGAAGAATAAAAACGCACGGAATGCAATTTCGTGACCAAGAGACAGAGAGCAACAGGATAAATTCGTTCTTTTAGTCACGTTCGCATTCTCTGTCATCTTTATTTTTCCGTAATACGACTCCCCTCATTTTAATCTCGATCTAACCTGATCTCGCAAATTTTATCACGAAACTTTATCGTGCGAATATCTGTTAAAAAATAAGAAAATATGGCAAACTCGTAAAATTAGAAAAAGTGCGCTTTAAAAATAAAAAAAATTTTAAAAACTTATAAACCTCGCTAAAGTAACGCATCGCATTCTGCGTTACGATGATTCGATTAAATTCAGCAATTTAGCATAAGACGAGACTGACAGCAGGACACGATATTCAATTACTTTGTACCACATCATCTTAAAATTTGGAAGACGATATTGGGAACGTTAAAACTGAACTGCGTTCATACCTATAAATAGAGACGACAACGCGTGACGCAGGAAGGACACGCGATTGGCGAATTAATTGCATCGCAAAAAAAAGACCGATAGAGAAAAGTTACATTAATCATTTTCTCTGCGAATCGTATGGATCGTTGTTGTAATCTCCCTATAAGTTATGACAGCTTCGATTCTCTCTTTCTCTTTCTTCCTCTCCTGCCTGATATTCGTTTCGTTGTGTGTTATGCTCGATATATACACAATAATTCTTCTACAATTTGAACTGATACCGATTAGACAAGATAAGGTACAACCCCATTGCCAAATACACAATAAAAACTTCATCAGAGTTTCAAAGCGTTAAATATATTATTCGTAATTCGCAATTTAAATATTTCTTTATTTTCTTTCTTCGAAAGATTTCGGGAATTTTTTGCATCAGATATATTCTTAACTTTTACAAAAATGCATTTAAGGACCTTAATTTTCTACAAAAAATTAATTTTCTGGCAAAGTTAGGAACTTTTAACCCGCATCGGCGAGGAGAGAATTTTGATGGCTCATCAAGACCGAGATAATTTTCAGTCTCGATATCATATGATGATATCTGCCGGGAAATCGCCGAGTTTATATACATCGGATGACGATGAAGGACACGTGAGATATTCATTTCCGCGTATTTTTATCCATCGAATTCGAAGTAATCTCAAACTGTCTCGATAGGAGATCAAGTATTGTCGCATGCAACATTCGACAAAAGTGTAGAAGACATCATCATCCTGATGATGACCTCGTTCTCAACGGGATGACGACAGAATAATACACAACACAACGATTTCACAACACGATATTTTCGTACACGCCTCGCATGATGCGACGCGGCGGCGAACACTATTTTGTCCTCTCCTCTCCCTCTCCTCCATCGCCCTCTCTTTCTTCGTTTCCTTTTTCTCGTTCGCACGAAAGGCGGAAATCAGAGCGTTCCAGGCTAGATGGAGCAGGCCTCGGTCCAAAATGTTGTAGGAATTAGTTTCCTTCGAGAAAGAAAAGGAGAGGAAAGTGGGGGGGAGAGAAAGAAAAACGGCCTGAAGTTCGAAACTGGTATAATGTCGTCGATCGCTGCCTGCCTCCCTCCCCCCCTTCCCCTCCGTTGTGGGCGAAAATTTCTACGCACAACGACTATCTATCGCGCAGCGATTTCGTTTTAATCCCCCCTTTATATCCTTATCATTTCGATGAATTTTAATTACGTCACCGTCGATATTGTGACGGTTGCCGGCCGGCAAAGTCCTCAATTTAAATAATACGCAATTCGGATTCCCGGCAACAACGATGGTCGTGCGCGTGTGCATGAGGCTAACAACGTACCTCGGTGATGTTCGTGAGTCCGTACGTGCGTGTCTGTATTCCCTCGCGAGAAGCGCGACGATGACGGTGCCAGCACGTCGGGGTGGTATAGCCGATGGAAGGAATCGACTTTAACACGCGAGCACTGCGAAAATGCACTCGAAAGCGACACGAAGGATGCACATTCACAAACCGTGCGAGACTCGAAGAAGAACTGTCGGTGGCCCCCTTCTACGCGACCCGGCGACAATTGGCGGCACGCCGTCCGATTGGCCGAGCTGTCGCCTATCGGTAACGCGAACGCGGCACGGCGGCCAATCGCGACGAGGGTGCGAGCGTGCGTTCGAACGCCGACGCGGTCAATTCGAAAGTAACGTAACGGGACTCCGTATGTATGACATTAGACATGATGGTACTTGTTTAATTATCTAAGACTGCTGGACGATAACGCTAATGGCGAATCATTGTTTTATCGGCGTGTCTATTGATTATTCGAAATGTATGAATTATACAAATTGGATGTTATCGTTAAGCGTTATTTCGTCGATGATTAGAAATATCGAACATCGTTGATAGAAAATAGTTTTTGTAAAAATTCGTAAAATTTCCTTTTTGGATATATTAGCAATGAGTGTTCCATAAATATTGAACTAAAAGAAAAAAAGACAGCGAAAATAAATGTAAGAACATTTTTTTTTTTTAATAGATGTAAATATTTTGTTAGAGATACACATAGATTGTAAAGATTTGAAATTTTTCAATATCAAAAAACAACTTTGCTATTTTTAATATTTTAATTTAATTAATATGAAATAATTTTTAGTTGTTCTTCTTAATCTAATAATTAAGATGAAATTTACGTCAGACATTTATTCTTAATTATTGCTCTGTGAGAGTATTATCTATTCTTTTTTTTCATAAATAATCATTATCCAGAAATGTCCCTCTTTCATTTCAAATATAATAAGCTTTTAGAAAATTGCATATTTGGTAATATAAAAATTTACGACGTCTACTTTACTCTAGCGTGCCTCGCCTAGTCGATATTCGATATTTCCGCTAATCGAGAAAGTAATATTAAAAAGCTGCTTTTGATTACCTATATTGCATTTCAATCTCCGTTTTCGCGGTGCTGCCGATGCGGATTAAATAGAATCAATTTCAAAATCAATTAGAGAAACAGGTTTTCTCGTACGGTATCTTTGCTGATATATTCGCTACTTCCGTTAGTTCGCGAACTTTTGTTGTTTATCAAATTGGCACATGAGTCGTAACAATTAGATATTTCTTGTTTTTACAATCGAATTGATTTTATCAGTTTATAGGAAAAAATTGATTCTTTCTGCCATGAGAATTCTAAAACTGATCGATCGATTGTAACTATACTGCTGTGACATGTAAGCCTATTAATGCTGATAACGTATATGTATAGAGTAAAAAAAGGAAAGATGCGACGACTTTTTCTAGGAAAAAGATAATAGTTCTTTCTGATCTCACATTCTACTCTGATAAGACTACGCTCTGAGATTTTATCGATAAAAAAGAAATATTTGCCATATTTTTAATATACCAAGAAGAATAAAATAAAAAAAGAACATAAATTTCATTTTATGGGTTACAAGCACGAAAATCAGATCATTACAAAACGCATTCTATTTTTAGTATAAATGGCATAGAAATATATTTTAATTTATTAAAAATATATTTCAATTTTACTTTTCTCTATATACGATGCGGAAAATTGTATATATCGCGGGAAATGTCAAATAATGGCAGTATATCTTACACAATAGACACATTTTTCTCGTATTGTCGAAGTAAGCGATATTATCAGCAAGCGATACAAGCGTCTTCTTTGCTCTATTCTCGACAAAGAATTTGTTATGCTGTTTTTCTCGG